TCATGTCGGTGTGGTGCCTGTGGCCGCGGGCCGCTCAGGGACGGGCTGAAGGGGAAGGATAATCTCCTCGTCAGCCTTGTCCTCGTTCGGACTCCTCCTCGTCCTCGTCCTCCTCACCATCCAAAATCAATCAGCATCGAGTCGGGAATTCTAGAATCGAATCGGCCCCGCCAGATGCACAACAACGCCGTGCGAACGTCGGGCCGCATCGGGTCGCCGGAACATCGAAATCGAATGGGATCGAGCCGGCCAAAATCGATATCGAACCAGATGGATCGGATTGGAGTGGAGATGCAAACAATAACGGAGAAGGCAATGAAATCAGTGGGACCAAGGTGCTGCCACAACCTTGCCAGACGGCACTGGTAGCCGATGAATGGCGCAACCTGGTTATGGCAAAGAGTCGGGGGAACAAGCTGGCAAGCATGCGATGGTTTCGCTTCGCATTCCTCATGGCAGCGTGGGCACCGACACCGCGCCGCAAAGGCTCCCGCCCCCCCTCCCTCCCCAGTGCCGTCCCTGAAGGGTCCCGCTGCTGCACACCTCCGCGTTCGTTCGACCGCCCGCCCGCCTCCCCCTATCAGCCTCGGAGCGGCTGGGAACTAGAAAGAAAAAAACACGACATGTGACAGACGCATGAACTCTCGGAGCTCCACGCGGATCTCTCGAATCAGCGCTGAACCCCCCTGGCGGCGCCAGAGGCGCCGCCAGCACCGATCCGAGAAATCCGCGTGGAGCCCCGCAAGTACACGTTTATGTTTTGTGTCGTATTTCGCTTCCCTTCGGGAAGATTTCAGGGAGACGTAAGACTCGCCCCTGGGGGACTCGGATAGCACGACGTGGTCGCCAGGAAATTGACGAGACCCAATCTGAAACTAGAACCACGCGCGCGCTACGCGCGCGCTTGTCTTCTGGCCGACTCCGCAGTCATTGTTGGTATGCTTGGCACGAACCCACAATCCCCAATTCACAAACGGAGAAGTGCCCCGAACGTAGGCCGCCCTTGGCGCGTGGTACCAGGCCTTCTGAGGACTAGTAGCGGGCTCATGGGGCAGTCATGGAGTCCGTCGACTCCTTTGGGGTCATCACTGCGTGTGAGATTATCCTCCCCCATAATCCCCCCCGACAAGGGGGCGGGGGCGGGTGGAGGGGGGGTGGGGAAGGGAGAAGGGGGGGTGGGGGGGGGGCAAAATTGCAGCGGAAAGTGCTGAGCGAACTTTGCCCGTTCGCCCGTTTGACTTGACAATGGGATGCCCACTGTCAAACGAGCAATCGGCGGCACTTCCTTTCAGATTCCCCGTTTGACAGTGGGGATCCTTCAATCAGATGGGCAATCGGGTATCGCGATGGCCCATTTGACAACGGGATTCCCATTGTCAATTGAGCGATCGGAGCTCAATTCCCCCGCCTCGGCCTAGCCTCCCCGATTGACCGTTTGACTGTGGTCCACCACGGTCAACCGGACAATCGGAGCTCAATTCCCGCGACTCGCCCCCCCGGATTGCAGACTTGACAATGGGTTCCCACTGGCAAACGGGCAATCGGAACTCAATCCCCGCGCCTTGGCCTTTCCCCCCGATGGCCCATGACAAAGGGGCCCCGCTGTCAAATCGATATTCGGACTTCCTTGACCGGCCAGACCTGGCCCCCAAACAAGCTATTTGACAATGGGGATCCATTGTGAAATGCGCTAGCGCCTGCACGTTGGCCAGTAGGACCTTCCTGTCAATTGGCCAGCCCCCCGCATGGCTGCCCATTTGGTGATTTGGGCCACGGAGCTACATCCATACTGCAAGGACCTCGTGGAAAAGCACCGAAGAGCCGCGCAAGAGCATCCCGGTGACCCCTCACGAGCTACGTAACAACAGGAGCCCGAGAAGGGGGCCGCTTACAGACCAGGGAACAGCGAATTTGACAACTTACTTGTTCTGCCTCCCAACGCTCCCGCAATATGCAGAAATCATCGCGCCCTGGTTGGCGCCGAACCCCCCATTCCAAAGCAAATGGATGCAAGCGGTGAACCGTCAATTTGCTTACCGCGGGAAACCTCGTAGAGCTCCTTGCAGCAGCAGGAAGCCAGGCGCCCAAACGGCGCAGCGGCAGTTCATGACTCGTCGAATTCTACATGCGAAGATTGCAGGCGTGATCAGGAAGCGTACGGGAAAACACACGCCGCCCACTGTAGCTTCGGGCGTCCGCGTTTGCGCTTGCGGTACCATTGCCTTGGTGTGTTCCCTCCAGGCTCACACACGAGGTCTCGTAGGATATGACCATCTGGCAATCGTGCTATCTTGCTATACAATTTGCCTTGTTGTTCTAAGAGGTCGTCGCTCAGTGGGCGTGCGCCTGCGCGTGCCCTCACCTCAACACTTGATACTCTCGACACGTACGAATGAGGTATTTTCAGGATCTGTCGCAAGCAAGCCGCTTGAAAACTGTCGAGTCTGTTCCGGTCTACTTTGAGAAGCCACACAGACTCCAAGTTGTAGAGAAGCTTGGGAAGTATCACTGCTCGGAATATCTCCAACTTTCTATGTTTTGAAATATTTGCATGGTTCCAACATGCTTCTAATAGTTTGAATACTCTTTTTGCTTCGCCAATTCGCCGGGTCACCTCTGGCTTGCTGTTCACTGTCGTATTCAATAAGCCCCCCAAGTATACAGCCTGTTCCACGGATTTCAACGGTTGACCATCCGGTGAATACACTTGACCGTTGTTACGCACTCTCATCATCATTGTTTTCTTCCAATTGAGTTCGAGCCCATACTTTTCGCCCTCTTGTATGATCAAGTCCAATATGATTTGTAACTTCACCGGGCTAGCACTCAGAAGGACTGTGTCGTCCGCGTATAACAAGTCGTTACATACCGCGTACTCCGGTTCCTCGAAGTCGCTTGCCATGGTTTGGTAGATCTTATCCACGTCGAACAACATGACTGTTTGCACAATGATGAACAAGTACGGAGATAAAGGGCATCCTTGCGCGATCCCTGCCTTTTGTTTTCTCAGTGTGGAGTCGCCGCCCGGGTCTTTTATATAGAAATCCCTTCCATCGTAAATTGCCTTGATCATGTCCACCATTTGACAGGGAATACCAAATCTGGCAAGCGCTCGAACCATCGACTCGTGTTTGATGCGGTCAAAAGCCTTTGCCCAATCCAGTAAGATAGCGAGTACCCCAGGTTCTTCTGCAGCGTACGCGGCGTCGAAAATGCGGCGCGCTATTATGATAGCGTCGACTGTGCCGCGGTTTGGCCTGAAGCCGAATTGCGTTGAGCGGATGCGATCTTCCGCCCCTCCATTTTGAAGTCTTTTCTGTAGCATCCAAGCCAATACTTGGTACCCCACTGCTAATAACGAAATTGGGCGGTAATTCTCTGGCAACCTGGCGTCTCCCTTCTTGTACAATAATACTACTTTCGCTGTTTTCCACTCTGCGGGTATACGTTTTTTGCTTCCAGCATTCCGCACAAAGATCAAGGAGGGATTCGCATGCGTCTTCCGATGCAGATAATAATTTCCAAAACTCTGGGTATATGCCATCTGGTCCCGCTGCTTTTGAAACCGATAAGGCTTTCAATGCGCGCATCAGCTCGTCCATTGTGAGCTCCTCCGCGTTGATGTTTAGAGAATTCCCCAAGGGCTCTGTCCCTCCAGGCAGCTTGTCTGGGACGCTGATCTTCCATTGTTCATTTTCAAAATAATCTGCCAGAATGTTTGAGCGTTGGTCGCTGTCCACAATATGCCCCTCTTTGTTTTTGATTGTAACCGGCGTCTTCGAAGGTGTAGCCTTTAGCCCCCGTATGGCTTTCCAAGAGCCCCCGGCCAATGTGGATTCCAACCATTTTGATTTGTCCCGTCGCACTGCCTTCTTGACTTCCTTATTGAGTTTTGTCTCTTTCCCTGTGCCGTTTGTTATCGCTTGATCTCGTTCTGCCAGCAAGGCAATGGTGGCCCCTGAGATCCATGGTTGGTGCCGTCGTGCTTGGGGCTGGGCTGCAATCTGCGATGCTTCATGCATGGCTCGTGCTACGTTCGCCGCTGCATCGTCCAAAGACTCTGTTTTGGGTAGCTTCGAACGTGCCTCATGATACGTTTCCCCAAATCTTGTATCCAATTTTGGTGGCCCCCTCAGCGTGGCGAGACAGCAGGATGTCTTTGGTTCTTTCTTTTGCGTCTGCTCGAAATGCATGTTCAACTCTGTCAGTACCACGAAATGCCGAGTCGGCAGAGATGCTGTACGATCGCTCCATATATCCCGCACCATATCCATGTTGGTATTTCCCACCAGACAAAAATCGAGTTGTGCAAAATACTCCGGAGAAGGTGCGCTGCTGGCGCCCACGCCTCGGGCGGGCTGGAGGTACGTGACCGTGTTGTTGGCGGCATGATCGAAAAACGTGTTGCCAATCATGGAGCTCGTAGCCCTGCACGTTTCCAATAATAGTTCTTTGTTGGATTGTGCTAATCGCGATGGTGGGGGCGATTTGTACATATAATCTCCAATTACGTCTTCTTCGCCAGCCTCTCGTATATATAGCCTGGCATTGAAATCCCCATAACCAAACGTGCATGTGTGCGACCCGGGGCGCCTCCAAGCCTTTGCGAAAGAGTCGAAGAAAGATTTCCGACACTCGTAGTCTTTGCCAGCATGTGGTGCATAGCCACACAGTATATTTGCTACGCCGCCACATATTTTGAGCTTCAAAGACGCAAGCCTGTCGCCCAGCAGACAAAAGTTGATGACGGACGCGATGGCGGATTGCGCAATGACGAACCCGACGCCGGAGTATAGATATCCTGCGTGGTCTTCGTGGGCCCCAGACAATATTACCAAATGCCCATTTCGCATAAAATGGCAAGATTCCTTGCAATGTGTTTCTTGCATACACAAGATAGCAATATCGAATTGAACCATGTGGTAGAATATCTGCTCCAGTTTCCCGTAATCTGTTCCAAGCCCCTGCACGTTCCAGGCGGCGACAACTTGGTGTTCCAAAGGTCTGCATGTTCTCT